GACCCACTAGCCAGCAAGGTACCAACTTGGCGTGGCTACTGCGCAAGCCCGAGGGGAGATGGAGGCAGGAGGGAGATGCTTCCAAGCTCAAGGAATATCAAGGCTGGAGATGCTTTGCTTGTTTTGCTTTGTTTGTAATCACCCTAATTTCAACCGATTTGATGGTTTTCTTCCAGCTTAGGAGAAGCTCTCTTTTTGCCTTTAGAAGAAATGCTGGCAACATTTCCCAAGCGAAAAGAGCAGGAAGCCTAAAAATAGCAGGAATCCAGCCTTGGACTGGAAACAGCTACAGGGACTTCATCCTCAGGTACCTGCAATTCTCTACCACCCGTGCTTAAGGACACAAATTGGGTGCTGCAGATGGAGCCTGCACATCTGCTGACCCATAGGTAAGAGCAGCCATCAGAAATGCTTGAGCTTGGAGAGAGTTTTCCAATGACAACGCCAGGGGAAAAACAAAGCTGTTATAAGAATCCTGCTGAAAACGGTCCAGGGGAGGCAAGGCAGGAGTTAGCAATGGTGCAGCAACCCACTGCTCAGCCCCTGCCTGCCCCTGCCTGATGCAGGCAGCACGGTTCTCCGGCCCCCTCCAGTGGTCACAGGACATGCAGAGGAGCAGTGAGAGCCTCCAAGGCACGATTCAGGGTTTTGCAACTCCCGTGCATGCTCTTTGCTGCATAGAGCTGGACTCCTCCTCCCCAAGGCAAAGAGCCACGCTCCTGCATTGGTACATCTTTATCCAGCTACCCATGGATCCAGGCCCATTATAGACACCACCTATCTACTTTCAGATGTGACCTTGCTGCTCTACATTTTTCCCTGGGCAAAACCAGAGCACTGATTAGCACTTCTTGAAGTGGGACCCTGTCACCTCTGTTCTGTCCTGGGCCGATTTCCTCAGTGGGACACGTAGGACTAAAAAGGTGCTGTACCTCAAAGGCCAGTTTGGGTGTTAAAACTGCCTTACTTGACCCTCTGTGAGGATGCTGGTGCACTGGCACAGGGTGCCCAGGAAAGCTGTGACTGTCCCATCCCTGGCAGTGTTCAAGGCCAGGTTGGACAGGGCTTGGAGCAGCAACATTATATCTGGGTATCAGTTACCAGCATCTCATGCTCCGGAAATCCTCCATAGCAACAAAGACAAGAAGAAAGCCTCCATACAAAAAGACTGCTTTGGATCTGCTTTGCTCAGTCCAGATCTGGTTTGGTTCTATAAGCATTTGCCAAATCTTGTCATTCCCACCCCACCCAAGCTTACACACAATGCTTTGTATCTTACACACAAACATAGCAGGCATTCTTCAGTATAGGGGATGTACACACAATTAAACAGTTTAATTTCCCACCCATGGCTTCAGGATACTCATTTGTTACTCATGTTATGTGAGAACACGGAAAAGAACACCTTTACAGAAGAGAACACTTTGCTACATAGGAGGAAACAGTGAAGTCCAAGTTAAGGCAAAAATAAATACTGTTTATACAGTACAAAGACATACAATATGCACATGTAACTCAGATTTCATATTGGAAGACTTGTTTCTTCAGTTTAAAAGTACAGCGACAGCCAGAGCATGTAGGTTTTGGCCCTACAGGGCAGGATACGCAGGTCTATAAATAGCATGGATCTATTTTGAGATTCAGTATTATCTCCCTACAATGAAAATTCCAGATCTAAGTCTGTGCATTAAAGCACTTCACTCAGGCAAAGCTGGGTTTATGGAACTTCAGCAACCAACACCCACAGGGACTCACTCTAACAGTTGTCTTTGCACTTATGGCTTAATAGTATGAGCTGTCCCCTTGAGCTGGACTCCCTTCAGGTCCTCAAGACTGAAAGACCATCCAAGTTTAACACAGAGACCCATGCAGGAAGCACAGTCCCTCAGGTGGATGGGTCCAGCCAAAATGCCTCCTGCGCTTCAAAGCTTTGACTCTGCAAATGTCCAAGGGATTTATGAACTTTAAGCTTGCCTGCTAGTGGGTTGGGAGAACCATCTTTTGACCTGTGGATCAGAGATATCCATAGTCAGGGGAAGCCTTTGGGCTCCACATCAGATGGACTTGAAAATCCATATAGTCCTTTCAAGCTTGAGGTCAAAAGAACTACCCAGAGGCCAAAGTATTCTCCCCCCATCATGGCTTGACTTCACCAGTAGGACCTACAGAGGAATTCTGGCAGTACCAAGCATTGACTCTGCACATGGGGAGAGGATGCTCTTCACAGTTTCACTCACATGGAGTTAGCGTTCTGGAAGGGAGCACTGCTGCTAAACTGGTCAGGGTGCAATGGCAGGCTATCCATAAGCACACTGCAGGACAGCATCAGGCAAGGGCACAACAGTCAGCAAACCAAATGCTGAAGCATCTAGAATTAAAACTGTTAACAGCTCATCTGCAGAGCCTTGGCTTTAAGCTGTATCAGGCATTGAGCTAACTAAATTCTCTCAGTTTCCCTGGACCACCTTCTATCATTCACAGTGTATCTCATTCAGGTGGAGCCAGCTCTCCCCATCCTGCCACCTTCACCCAAAAGACACTAATGGGTACAAAACTAAGTCAAAAATCAAGGAGGAAAAAGGATCAAACCAAGGCAGCAGTTGAATGCCACTTTCTCAAGACAACCTACCTCCATTTCTGCCTCTAATACACTGGAGCTGGAAAGTATGGTCGGCCCGTGCTCCTGCAAAACATTATGGCTCTTCCAGCAAGGTGACAAGAGCCTTTACAACCTGTTTGCATCTCTCAGGCATGTTAACACTTCTATAAAGCAAGCGCACAACTCCCAGGCAACATGCTCATGGGCTGCCCTGGCCTCCAGCATGGTGAAAACCTAAACCATCTGCAAGCCTGAAAAGGAAACAGTGCAAAACTGCTGCCTTCTCACCTTGAGAGCATGCCTACAGCTACACAGCTTTGCCATTAGATCTCACCTGACAAGGGATGTAAAAGTACCATTTGCTTTAGCATCTAAGCACTGAATGTAACCATCACACTTTAGCCTGTTCCCAGCAGTGCAGATTTTGCCACCTTACACCAAAATCAGGGAGTCAAGCAATTTAAGGATCTTCCAGGCCTGGCCATGGAACTGGAGTAACAGGAAACAAGCAGGGGCTTGCCCTTCCTCCTCCTCTGAAAGCAGCTTCCAAAGGCACGTGTTCTTCAGCGGGTAGTAAAACATACCAGCAAGTCCATCACTGCTTATTAAACTCTATCCTTAATGCATCCCATAGTGGGAGGACAGGAAACTGAACCAAGTTTGCATTCATTTATACCTCTGGAAAAGAAAAAGCACATTTTCTAACTAGTATCAAGATCTATGGGGCAAGTCTTGAGGATTTGCTCCTCTAGTGTCAGCCAACGGCATTTGAAATCAAAATGCAAGGTAGCTTCAACAACCCCATTTCCCTCTTAATGCAGCAGGTCAAGGAGAAAAGTGATCAGACCAAATTCCATTCCCAGTGGGGCTCTTACTGTCCCTGCCATCCCATGCTTAACTCAGCTCTCAACAACAGGTCCCTATGCACTAATACCATACATGAAATAAATCCCCATCATCTTTAAAATCACTTCTGGAAAAACATCTGGCAAAGAAAATATTACCCCAAAAAAATCAACTAGGAAGCACTTGAATCAGTAAAGTAAAAGCAAACAGCAATTATCACCTGAGCATTTACCCCAGATCCTGAGGGACCATCATTTCTGTCCTTCTAAATTTGCTATTTTGACAATGTCTCCTATACAAGGAACTGGATGACCCTGAGATCCCTACAAAAGGTTATCAAGTCACTGAAGAGTGAGCCTATCCTGTGAACTTGTGACATGAAGGCAAACAGCAACGGAAATCAAAGAAGCCCAGGCTGCTGGGTGCAAGCACATAAACTCCTAACTCTTCAAGAAAAGACAAAAAGTCTTTTCCCTTTTCCATAATGCTGGTAGGAGCAGTATGAAAACAGAAAAACCTGTGAAGTGGATCTCGGAAGGTTTTCTCTGGTCCTACTGACATGGTAGGAGTCAGGTATAGGTAGGTATACAGTAAAAAGTAAGAAGGCTCTTCTATTTCTATGTGATGTGCATTACCAGCTACTTTACTGGGGCTTCAGTAACATCACCACAGCAGTATTGCAAGCAGGCAGTCTAGTGATCATTTTGGTGTCTTTTTCTTCCTAATAACACAGATACATTCACAGGTATTGCATCAACTACAATCCAGAACAGCAATAGAACCATTTAATTCAGCACCTCCTCCCTCCACTGCTGCTCTTGGTCAATCTCAAATATTCAAACCCATTTTACAGGGAGCAGAAGATGAGTTTAGGCATTGTTCTTCCAAAAAGCAGTCTAGCAATCTCCCAGGTTCACATGCTGTCATAGTCCTTGCCCCACCATCACTGCAGTAGGAATCACATCCCCACATCAGGCTGTGGAGCTATGAGTTCCCAGAGGTGAAACTATCTTTTCCTCTTCTCTTCACATCTGATCATTCGTGATATGGCAGCAGTCACAAGACTTGACACAGTCCCAGGCTGAGACCAGCCAACCCCTGCCTTATCCATTACAGTGCTGCAGGGAGAGCCAAGCTGCCACAGCAGCTCTGGTGCTCTGTAGAAGTGACTCAGACAGGATAGGATTACATATTCTGCTACTCTCCCATTTGTGTGATGAAGAGAGCCACCTTGCAGCAGAGCCACCTTGCAGCACGCAGATACAATTTTCCAAGTAACACCCAGCACTGGACAGGAAACGATGGGCTTCACACCATGAGGACAGAAGAAAATACACCAGGTTTTACAGCAGCAACCACAAACTTCATACAGAAGATGAAAGGTCACGTACTGATGGCAGAAAGAGAACAGTGCTCTTGTAAAACCTTCACTATGGTGAGGAGAAACTCCCCTGTACACTATAGGAAGAGGAAAGACACTTCCCCATGCTGAGACGCAAGGTGTGTGTAACAGAGATCAAGAACAGAGGTAGAGTCATAACAAACAGACATATGCTAACCGCTATAGGATGTATTGTATTTGCTCATGTAACAGCCACAGACGCTTACCGGCCTTAGTGCCCAACCAGTTGCAAACAAGGGATCACCAGTGAGATAATCAGTAGCTTAAGAACAGACACACAAAATCACTGCACCCTAAATGTTGAGGGGAAAATCACAGGGGCAGGGAATTATGTGCACTCCATGAGCACCACAGTGTTTCACTGTGAGGGAAGGGTTAGGATTGGCATCTGGCTTTATCAGCGCACTCATTTACTGAATCAAACTGTCCCAGAAAGCAGCCAGTTGCCCTTTAACTGTGTTCATGAAGTAGAAACTGTTTAATGGGGTCTGGGACTGGAAGGCTATGGATCAGATCCAGCCGGGATTTGCCAAGTATTCTTCGTACAGCTATGCGGCAGAGAGACAAGAGGCTCCGGGTACGGCCTGCAAGGAAGAAAGAGAACAACTATTGAGGCTCAGAGAAAGGGCTAACAGTGTGTAAACTGTGCTGAGCTCTGGCTGACAGCTGAGGAGTCATTTACTCCATCCATACTACACAGCAACATGAAGGTAGTGCTGTGAGCAGAGCATGCACAGATTCCCCCCAGAGGAGGCCAAAGCCATGGAGCAATGAGCCCCCACACAAGCAGTGTGGAAGGGCATGCTGAAGGCTGCACGGGGTTGTGACCATGGAGCCAGTGTCTGCACGAGAGGGTTCAAGAGATCACTGCCAAATCCACACCAAGGGAGGCTGTGGGAGGCTTTATGCTATTCAGATTGTTTTAAGATGACATGGACTTTATTTCTGCTCTAAATCACCCCCTTGGGAAACAACAGCATTGATGGCCAGCTTAGGCCTTCCACCAACATTCTTTTGATGGCTTCTTTTCAGCTCACAGAGAGCTCTTCCAGCACAGAGACATCCACATTGGTGGTGTCCATGTTGATTCAGGACCTCCAAGGCACCACTACATTATCCTGCATGCTCTACCTGAGGAGTCCCATTTGCCTCCTAAACCCAGGCTTAATGGAAACCATGTGCTGCAGCTCATGTGTGCCTCTTCCCAGCAAAAGTCCAAGCAATCTGAAAAAACAGGCACGTGCAAAGCTGAATAACTTGGAGCTGGGGGTTGTATCCCACAGCCTGAATCCCTTGGAAAATTCCTGCTGAGTTCAGGAGGGAAACTCCACTTCCGAGATGGTGCAAAGTCCTGGCCTTCACCAGCTGAGCCTGGTAGTTTTATGAGGTGCTGCCCTTGCTGGAACAAGGACGCACACTCTACTGGTGTTGCTTTTGTCATAAGAAGAAAGAAACAGCAGGTAAACTTAGGCATGATCAGGTCTGAGACTCTGGTTTACTTCTTTTGTAACCCATTTGCTTCCCAGAGGATGTGAAATTCCAAACCCCAGCTTTTTCACACCTTTTTCCACCACCATCCTGCCACTTGCTATCACCATTTGTGGCTTCACTGCCCAAGCAGCCTGTCCAGATACACCTCTTGGGTCCCTCCCCATGCAGAGCACAGGGTTATCCAAGAACAGTGAGGGTACACCTGCATGGCTTCGGAGAACTGGATGTTGTTGGATATGCCATAACCTGCCTGTGGTCTACAGATCCAAAGCCCAGCTCTGACAGGTCCATGCTGCCTAAACCTTGCTGAGGACATGGTTAGGCAATGGAAAAAGGAGCTGGGAGAAAGATAAAGTTACAAACTGCTGCAAGAGGCACTGTTGGTAGCTGAAGGACTCAAGAGGGAGGAAACTACCACATGAATGCACCAAATGCAACAGGAGAAAACCAGCTGGCTGGAGGCTCATGGGGAAGCCACTGGGTTGAGTCATCAATGCTGGGAGAGCATCAGCTCAGCAACAACAAGGATCCGTGCCAGGGAGCCACAGAGGCCAGCCCCATAGTCCTGTCCTGCTTGATGCCTGCCTGGCCAGCAACAGCTCTAGGGGAGCTGTATCAGAGGTGGTGAAGCCATCCACACTTTGCTTAACAGCTTGTTAAAGTCCAGTTATCTTTTAAGTTAGGTATAATCTGTTTACACCACCTTTTTGCCGAACAGACCCAAAAGAGGATGCTACCACCTGAACAGCTCCTAACTCCCAAATAAACTCTCCAAAGAACTCTCCTGAATCCAGAGCGAGACAGAACCAGACTTCAGTAAATCAAAGCTACTTACCCCTTGCTTCTTTAAACACCCGCAGAGCCTCAGGGTTGACTTTAACCCTTCCTGTGGATTCGACTCCCAAGGCCTCCACTTTCACCAGGTTCAGATTGGCTCCAAAGTCAATCAAAAGGTGCACGAATGCCGCTTCACAGCCATGCCGCAGGACAGCGTCCATCACACACACTGGGGAGCCCCGGGAGAAGCCTTGGATGTTAATGGGCCCACAGCAGTTAAAATCTGGGTTGGCTCCAGCCTGGAGCAGCAGCTGGAAGCACTGGAGGTTGTGGTAGGCAGCACTGATGTAGAGTGGGCAGACCACCAGCGTGGTTAGGGGCCGCAGGGACAGGCTGGGGCTCTGTGAAGGGAGGTGGTGATTCACATCCACATCTGCACCATACCTGGTTGGAAAAGAAGAGAGCAGAGGTTTGGAAACAAGGCCAACAGCACCACAACTGCAGCCCAAAATGGCAAGAAGTAAAGCCAAAGAGTGAGCACCCTGCCTGTCTTTGGTACCTCTGGAGCCCACCACCCAAGTACCATCCATACCTACCCTCAGATGGGCCTGGTGGGGCTTCTGAGTGGTGATGCTGTATCCAGCATGGTCTGATCTTCAAGAAGCAAAGCTGTTTCTCTGCCCATAACAGCTGAGGCTTCAGAGGGAGGAGGAGCAGCTGTGAACATCTTTCCCTGCCCTCCTGAAGGACTGGCCAAACACGGCCTTGGCACAAGGGATGGCTCAGCCCTAAGCCAGCACCACGTAATGCTGGATGCTAGTGAGCTGGCTGGGGAGCAAGGATGCTTCCAAATTACCCAGTTGAAGAGATGCAGTGAAATAATTTCCCCACCAGGCTAAAACAGGCCAAAAAGCAATACAGACAATCGATCTGACTGTCACAAATAGCACGGAAATGGAAACAGAAATCTGTGCTCAACAGCAACACATGTATGTCACAATCCCGCTCCCAAAGGAACTAGGGCATTTGGAATACCATCAGAAATCCCTTCAGGGAGTCAAAAAGAGGCCTTTTCCCTAGTATTCAGCTCAGAAAACTGGAAGAACACAAAATAATGGCATCAGGCCCTCCCCTGTCTGCATCCATCCTGCACAGCTCCATTCACAGGCTATACATTGTACTGGATACCACACAAGAGATTACAGCTCACTCCAGGAGTTGCAGGGGGGACCCCCAGGAGCTGCAGCACCAAACCTCCCAAGCTTTTTGCCATGTCCTACCCCACAGAGAAACTCACATCCTGTGTCTTTGCCATGGGCTTGGGCTTGCAAAATGCCATGTGAGCAGGCTAAAGCCCCGCTCAATGGCCATGAGTATCATCACGAAACAGAAGCAGTGCCCATAGCATACTTCTTTTCAGTAAGTACAGATGGCACCAAGTTGTGAACAAGCAGAAAAGAGGGCTTAATGGCTTTGGTTCTTTTCATTTTGTTTTTTGTAGGAAGTGAAGAATGCGGTCAAACAAATGGGAGCAAAAAAGGCCAAGTGCTGCTCTCTGGCAAAGCAATTTGGAAAATGGCAATGCTGCAGAAAGAAGAGACAGCAGAAATAAGCATTTCTTTTCCCCAGGCTGGGTAACACCCAAGCAATGGGGACACTATGTCCACCTACTTCATATGCAGCTTGGATGGGAAGGAGGTGGAAGACACACAATCCCCTCAGGAGTAGCTGGTTTTAATTGCAGCACCAAGATCAGGCAAAGCCCTGTCCCTTCTCCCCACAGAGGGATAAAAACCTCCTTCACTCACCAGTCCCCCACCCAAAACTAGACTTTTCTGTCTTCCTAGATAGCATTCTAGTCCTCTCTGCAGTTAATAAAGCAAATAAGGAAACCACCTGGGCACAAATCCTGACTCAAGGCAAGCACAGCCTAAGGAGGGGCTGGTCCCCATCCAGCAAACACTTAACCAAATGCTTCAATTCTGAGGATGGGAACAGTCTCATTTAAGTGAAGCACACTCAGAACAATGCCTAAGGAAACTTGTCTAAGAGCTGCAAAGGACATGCAGTGCATTTTCACCCCAACAAGCAAGATCTCCCAAGCATGAACATCTTGGCTGAGATCTCAGGAGACTGGTAGGGCCACTGCTTCCTATGGCCATGATCCTGACGAGACAGCAGATATCCCTTTGGGTTCTTTTTTTCCCACTATTGTCATCAAAATTCCCAGTGGAAACCCTCAAGCCAAAGCAAAATACAGAGCTCAACATGCACCTGAGGCAGCAGGGCCATTTGTCAGGTCTCTTTTTCACTGTTTTAGTGTGGCAAAAGGGCCCTCTCACCCTTAATCCTTCATAATGAGGTCAGCCCTCAATCATACTGCAAGTATAGTGCAACAGTCCAACCTCACGGCATGATCACATCACAAGCTGTTAAAAAAGTAATCTCTATACCTTGGCAATCTAACCATAAATACTTCCACCAGCCATGTTAAAAAGCAGATCACCATCCCATAGCTACAAGTGTATTTACTATTCATGGATACAGTTTCACCTCTTGCATGGGTAGCTGGTTCAGCAATTATAGGAGTATCCAGGAATCCTGATTGTGCTACCATATGATTAACAAAGAGATGAACTAGGTGATGTTTAGACACTTGCAGCAAGCCTGGCTGGGTTGGGCTTTCTCTTTAGGACTTAGGAGGGTTTCTGGAGTTGAATATGCTGAAATATTTCCTTCTATCCCAGTAAAAGTGTCTTCCTCATTGCATCCCCTCTGCCAAAGCCTTTGAGAGCAACATCTTACAATTCTCCAAGTGAGCTCTGCAACAACAGACTGCATTTGAAAGTAAGCAAATCTGAAGAGATCTGTGAAATCCATCCTCCAAGATACTTGAAATTGTGGGCAATCTGACAATTTGGTATTAGCTTAGCAGCTTTGGGAGAGACATTGTCTAATAAAAACACATTGGACAAACTCCAGTTCATTTTTAAGCCTGAAAGTGTTCCAAACTCTTGCTTTTAATATTGCTGGCAAGGTATCCCTAGGAGTAGACACATAAATCAATGCATCAGCTCTCCCTTGTGCTGCTGAAACACCATTTGCTACATTTCACTCTGCCTTAGCAGATATCTCAGGGCAGATTCTTGGGAATGCAGCATGGGAGCTGAAGCCTGTACTGACAAGCACATGGCAATGGGGACATCCTTCTCTCAGCTTGAGAAAGGAAAGAGGAGGGGGGACCATCTCCCCTTCTTTCTACTTGCAGCTTCCTTAAAGCTGCACTTGTAGGAAAATTAACTTCCCCACAAGCAAAAAGGAGAGGAGAAAATCCCCAAGTAATTTGAAATGTTGCTATTCAAACCCTTTTAGTTGCTATTTTCTAGCCTCTGTGGTCACTGAAGGGGTTTCTTGGACAGCATTTCTGTGGGAATCCAAACACTCTTTCTTCTATTATTTCTTTCTACAACCTGTATTTTCCCCTGATGCTCCCTTAGTATTTGGTGTCAACAGCCCATTTAGTCCCTTATACAAAAAACTTCCAATTTAGAAGAAAGGAAGTATCACAGCACACCACAGAGGAAGAAAAGTCAAGTTCACACAGCCTGCTGCTACATCCTGAGCACTGCTGGTGCTACAGAGAAACTTTCCTGAGGGATGGATGGTCACCAGTCACTCACCACCCAAATCTAAGGTTACTGTTCATGACCTTATAGTGATGGCCATCCCTCTCTGCCTCAGAGGTGCCATCCCGTCAATGAAGCTGTGCATCAGATGTCTAGCAAGGGGAGACTGAATCAGATGCCACAGAGGGCATCATAATGATGGGCAAACACCACGCAGGCAGCAATAGCCAGTGCCAGTGACAAACACCTCCTAAGGGCTGAAAATGGTCAGAGCAGCAGAGCTAAGCAAAGGAGAGATTTGTTTCCAAACACTTTTTGTTCACTGGGAGATCCACTTCACTCATAAATTCAGCCATGACATGGAGCTGGCAGTCAAGATAAGAGTTGGGAGGAAGATACTTTGAACAGTTTGGATCTGACTGAATAGTGGATGGTGGGCTCAGAAACAGAAATTCCTCTCCTGGGCTTCGTCCTAGGAGAACTGACATGGGAGGCACAGAGCAGGGCACAGACCTGTTGCCAGGGCCAATCAATGGGGAATACAAGGATGTCCTTTTGGGTACCTCTCCATCCTCTCACCCTGTCTGTCACTTAGTGAGCTTCACTAGGCCTGTGGAGACACTGGGCATGCAAGGAGGGAATGGATGAGCCCCATGGGGGAAAAAGTTCCCAGCGAAAGAGGAGCGAGGTAGAGTCACCTACCTCCAGCATGTACCTGAGCTCTCACCTGATCAGCTCCTGAAGGATGTCTGCACGGCCCACACGTGCCGCGTGGTAGACAGGGGTGCTGCGGTGGTGTCTGCTGCCATTGGGGTCAGCCCCAGCTTCCAGGAGGATCTTAGCACACTCAAGGTGCCCGTTGACCACAGCTACGTAGAGGGCTGTCTGCCCCTTCACATCCACCAGGTCGATCTCAGCCCCTTTGCGAAGGAGGAAGTCCACGCAGGGCCCATGGCCGGCAGTGGCAGCGATGCGCAGGGGCGTGCAGGGCAGCCAGCCACAACACCACACCGACTTCTCGTTGATCCGGCTGCATTGGAGGGGGACAACATTCCATCAGAGGAGCCCTCCTGCTGCCTACCAGCACCCCACCTCCTCCAGCCCCCAAAGAGGATCTGGGAGAACCCAAACTGCTCCCATGAAGCTTTTCCTGCCCATTTTGGGCACTTCAGAGCAGTCCTGAAAAGCTCCTGCCGACAACAGAAGGCTACGCCATAGTGCCTGGGAGACAGGCTTTATGGCAGCTCGGCTGCACATATGCACAGTGAGGGCAAACCCTGCATCAAAACACAGTGAAAATTATCAATAAACAAGTAAGATAATCCCTTTTTACAGGGAAATGTCCCATATCAGCAGCAACCAAGCTGGGGATCATAACCATTTAATTCAAGCTGCTCCAAAGGGGACACAAAGTCATTAAAGCAGCAGGGAAACAGCAAGAGGATATAGGAAGGAAAGAAACAGCGCACGGAAATGCAGGCATACATACATGTCACACTGCCAGCAACATCCACATGCAGCCAGGCACCACGGCATGACAAACACGAATCCAGGGAAACCTAGCCCTGCCAGCAAGCAGCAAAGTGGAGAGATGCAGCAATCCCCATCTGAACAGGAGGCCATTAGCATCCTCTCTGGGTGGGTGTATTGGCATAAGAGCCTTTTCCAGGTTATTGGAAGAGATGGATCTGGCTGGCAGCTGCTTAATCCCTCTGAAATAACCTGCATTAGCCTTTATGATCATGCAGATCTCAGGTTAGCCCTAAAAGTCCCATAAGCATCTAGCCCTCACTCCAAAATTCTCTGCAAATCACTGCCAGTACCCTATGAACAGAAAGGAAGGGATTTCTTTAAGGCCAACATAGGCTGGTGAAAATGCTCTTTAGCCAGCACAGCAGTGGATGTGCTCTTCTGGCTCACTCCATGAGCCCATATAACGGGTACAGAACAAAGCAGTTTCTGTACAGTGTGCTTACGGAGTTTGCCATGACAGCAATCCCACAGCTGGGGCTTTTTCAACCATGCCAACGCCTCATCTTTCAAGTCTTATGATAAAAGTGCTCCCCTTTAACTTTGGAGGTGTGGGGATGACCACCCCACACACACCCTCAAAGAAGCCACTTCACTCACTCCATCAGCTGTGTGATGGTGCTGCAGCCTCCAGCCCTCCTCCTCCCACCCAATATTGCTTTTCCTGCAAGGAAGGTCAACCTGTCCCTGCTGCCACAGGGTTTTTATGTGATATGGGACAAAATAAGGCAAAAATCTCAAATCAGGGGTCCACAGGAAATCTGGGCTGGCAAGAAACCTCGAGAGGCTTTGGACAAGGGCCTGTAGGAACAGGACAAGGGGAATTAACCTGCCAGATGGGAGACTGAGGTGAGCTCTTAGGCACAAATTCTTTCCTGTGAGGGTGCTGAGGTGCTGGCACAGGGTGCCCACAGAAGCTGTGGCTGCCCCATCCCTGGCAGTGTTCAAGGCCAGGCTGGACACAGGGGCTTGGAGCAACACAGTGGAAGGTGTCCCTGCCTGTGGCAGGGGGCTGGATGAGCTTTAAACTCCCCCTCAACCCAACCCAGTCTGTGGTATTAAACACCCCATCTGCCCAGGGGCAGAAAGAGGGGCTGCCTCATTCTCACTTCTGCTGAAAGGACACTTTTTTGAGGCTGGGAGACATTCTGCACTCAAACCAGCTTTTTTTCTCTGTGGTGCAGGTAAATTCATTAACTATCCCCATGGTGGCAGACTTTGCATTGGGCAGATTTTATAACATTGGGTGTTTCGGTTTTATATTCGATTTTAATCCCTTTTGCATGTTTCTTCCATCATACACAAGCCCCCATTTCTCATAGTATGACATTCCTCTGATCTGAAAGGAATCAGAGGACATGCACACTCACAAAGCAGCTCAAGATTTACCTCCTTGGAGATCACAGAGGGATGACTGTGGGGGGCAAGCAACGCACACTCCCATCCTAACACCCATCCCTGGCAGTTTTCAAGGCCAGGTTGGACACAGGGGCTTGGAGCAACCTGCTCTAGTGGAAGGTGTCCCTGCCCGTGGCAGGGGTTGGAGCTGGATGAGCTTTAAGGTCCCTTCCAGCCCAGCCCATGTGTTTCTCTGCGCAGGACACCTCCCTCACCTTTGGAAGCTCTCCTCCTGCAGCAAGCTCTTGAGGGTGGGCAGGTCCCCCACGTAGGCCGCGTCGTGCAGCCGCGTGTCCTCGCAGTGCTCGAGGGGGTGGTCGCAGAACTGCTCCCGCAGCCACTCCTTCAGGTTACGACCTGCGCTGGAGAGAGACCGGGGAGGGGGGGGAAGCCAGGCTGAGCCCTACCCCGGGGCGACGAGCTGGGGGTCCCATCCCCCGGGAGGAGCCCCTATCCCCCACGTTACCTGCCTGCCCGCCTGAGGCAGCGGGCGGATCCCCGCCCTCCGCCATCTGCCCCCAGCGCCGCCGGCTCAGCTGGGCCCGCCCTCCCTCCGGTCCCCCCCCTCCCGCCACCGCCCGCCCTCCCCGGGCCGGCCTGATTGGTGCCTGCCGGCCACGCGGCTTCCTGCCTCCGCGTTAAGGTGGTTTTCCGCGGCTGCAGCGAGCACCGGAGGAGCCATTCCTCCTTCAGAGCAGCCCCGCCGCCGTACCTCAGCGGCAGGGAGGCGGCGCGGCCCGGCCCGGCCCGGCTCTGCCGGCAGCGCCCGGGGGGCTCCTAGAAACGGGAGTCGGGCGGAGCTCGGCCCCTGATGGAGGGGCTGCTGCTTCTTCCAGCCATGGGTAAAATAGGGCTGACAATACACAGTGCTGTGCACACAGCGTGGGGGGGGGGGGGCCCGCAGCACCTGCAGGAGGGATAGAGCAAGTGTTTGAAAGCAGATACACAAGGCTTGCCACAACTAAAAGCTGCGGGGGGGGGTATGTCATGGAATCACAAAATGGTTTGGGTTGGAAGGGACCTTAAAGCTCATTCAGTCCCAACCCCTACCATGGGCAGGGACACCTTCCGCTAAAGCAGGTTGCTCCAAGCCCCTGTGCCCAACCTGGCCTTCAACACTGCGAGGGATGGGGCAGCCACAGCTTCTCTGGGCACGCTGTGCCTTTGGCTCTCCTTGAGTCAAAGGGACCAGATCTGGGAACTAGACAGTGGGGACAGGTGGAACTCCAGCCCTCAGCTTGGCTTCCCTGTGTTTATGAAAGGCTTTCTAGGATTGGTATGGGCTCCGGACTGGCCACTCTTTGGGAGATGCCTTCGCTGGGTTTGCAGGCATCCCAGCAGAAGAGACCCACCACATTGTGCTCCTCTGTGTTCCCTTCTTGGTTTCCAATGTACAACTGCATCTAGCTACTGACCCTCTGTGTCTGCTCATGAGCAGGGGAGCAGCCACATACATCTCAGTTCCCCGTTGCTGTGCCTGAATATAGCACAAGACAGATCAGAACAGCTTTCTTAGCTGTTGCGTCGTCTGCAGCCCCCACATATTTAATGGGACTAGATTTAATGAGCTCTTCCAGCTGCAAAGTGTGGTGTTGGATTGCTGGTCTCATCCAGAGGAAAAAGGCATGTTAGTCCATGGGCGTTCATACACATGGCCCCAGACCAAAAGCCATAATGCCTGTGTGCACAAGGGGATAGTTAGTGCAAGGGACAGAAACCTTTGTACTTTACTGCTTTCCCAGCAGGAATGCAATGCCAGTTTTCAAAGCTCTTAGGGAGAGGCCGCTCCTGCTCAGCACAATCTGTCTTTAAAATAGATTTGTTTACTCACTGTGTCATGCAGAACTGGCTCTTCTCTCTTCTCCCATGGGGAAAGTGCAGACAGGCAAGGAAGGGCAGCAGAGGATGTAGCGTGTTTACTTGTAATATGGTATTTGTCCCCATGGACAAAGCAGAGAGGAACAAAGTGAGGGTAAACAGGCCAGATGAAGCTGGAACACCAGTGTCTGGATCACTCACGATTTGAGGTTCATTCAGTTCTTGCAGCAAATGCCTCCATTTAACCACAGTCTCTCTTCTCCACAAATTGTTACGTATTTCTGTACTTACAGACATGCTGCAATGAAAGGCAGAAGGTTTTTACATACCATATCCCATTATCCTTCCTAGCAGAAGTTTATCCCCTTTTTTTGTGTGCATGTTTGTTTTCCTTAAATACATATGAAAACCTACCCATCCTAAATTGACCTAATGAGTTCTTGTACAGGGATGGTAGCAAGGGAGTGACTCTCTCAGCCTTGGAGATGGCCAGCACTGGAAATCAATAGATGTTTAAGAGAAATCCCATGGAGAAAGAGACTATGATGGAAATCTGTATCACTCTGAGTGCAATTTGCAAACAGGTTAACATTCAGCCAAGATACAGGAAATACATGTCCAGCATACCTGACTGCTCCTACCAGACATCTCTCTTACCAGCTGAGGACATAGGCTGCAGGCAGCCCTGGCTGCTGTTCCTTGCCCCATCAGGACACTGGACTAGATGGCCTCCTGAGTCTGAATTCCTTTCAGCCTGAATTATCCAATAATCCTGGTAATAGTCAGCCTATGCTTCCTGTACCTGGAACAGTGCTCAACTCCAGGGACTGCTTCAAAAGACTGCAAAAAGCAGTTGTTTGATTGAGGTACATCAGGTACATCCTCCTCTTGCACAAGACAGCAGAACTCCAGAGGGATCGGGATCTGCTGGCTCTTGGAGCACATTACCTCTAGTAACCTGCCCCTGGCCACGCCCACCACCGGGGGGAGAAGCAGCCAGGCAGGTGACCGAGCTTGGCCCCTCTTCCCTCCATGGTTCATTATCTGTGGGTGGCCTTTCGGCTTGCTACAGTGATTCCAGCCTGTTGGAAAACCAATCCACCCAGCAACTGGGGCCTGTGACTCTCTTAAGGAGAAGCTTCCAGTATCTAAATATAGCCAGTAATCCAACACAGCCAACACACACTGACTCACTCGTTAGGCCAGGCCATTTCTGCAGCTCCTAATGCTGAAGCAATGAAAAAGAAACAAGTAAAAGAAAATAAGTAAATAAAAGCAAAAACCTCCTTCTGAGCCCTCAGCCATGGGCAGCTCCCTCAAACACCATCCACATTCAAGAAGATTTCCCACTGCCTCTCGAGCACGCACATCATAGAATGGTTTGGGTTGAAAGGGACCTCAAAGCTCATCCAGTTCCAAACCTCTGCCACAGGCAGGGACACCTTCCACTAGAGCAGGTTGCTCCAAGCCCCTGTGCCCAACCTGGCCTTGAACACTGCCAGGGATGGGGCAGCCACAGCTTCTCTGGGCACCCTGTGCCAGTGCTTCAGCACCCTCACAGGGAAGAGCTTCTTCCTCAGATCCAACCTGAACTTTCCCTCTTTCAGTTTGAACCCATCACCCCTTATCCTATTGCTGCAGTCCCTGATGGAGAGTCCCTCTCTGCATCCTCGTAGCCCCCTTCAGACACTGGAAGCTGCTCTGAGGTCTCCACGCAGTTTCTTTTCTCCAGGCTGAACAGCCCCAGTGTTCTCAGCCTGGCTCCATACAGGAGGTGCTCCAGCCCCTGATCATCCTCGTGGCCTCCTCTGGACTTGCTCCAGAAGAAGGAAAGAAGAAAAGAAAGAAAGAAAGCAGGTATAAAAGAAGGAATGCTGTAACCAGAACTGTAATTCACGCTTAGCTCAGTCTATAAAACTTCTCCCTTCTGGAACTAAGCCAACAGCTTGAATTTTTAGTGAACTCTGAAGCTGAGTTGCCCTGGTGATAAATGCATCTGTGGGGTAAGGAGAGAGGGGGCGGAATTCCTGTCCTCCCATTTTTAGCACAATGCAACGTTTTTCTCTGGAATTTGTATAGTTCCTAACGTGGACATGAAGATGTACTTCAACAAGGGGATGGGAGGAGAACTTAATTCCAGCATCTGGGACTGTCATTAGGACTGGGGCTGTAATCACAAAGATGATGAAAGATAGGTTGCTTGGAGTCCAGTAAGTTAATTATGCTGCAAGAGGCAGGACTGATGCATCAGCTGTATTTTGACCTTCCATCTGCTATCCAGGACTTTGCTTCGTCAATCCTGACCATGAGAACGTGTAGGACACAGAGTGGAGGTTATAATGTAAAGCCATAGAAAGGCAGAGACTAGAAAATCCCACCCACCTCTCAGCTTCAGCATGGCACAAAATGAGACAGATGACCAGTACACCTGCTGCTCCCAGCTGAGCAGCACAGTCAGTCCTGCAAGTGAGGAAAGAAGGTTAAACCAGTGTAAAGAGCCACCACAATAAACACAGATGAATTCAATAGCCTGGATGTGGGTGATGGTAGGTCAGGAACATCTCACCTGCATGGAGCATGCCAGCCCCAAGGTGGTCCCAGAGGGAAGATTACACTGGCTTCACCATGCAATGGCACCCTTAAGGAAAACTTGCTCCATAAAAGGTTGCATTTCATCCTGGTTGTACTCAGAGAGGTGTGGGTTAGGCTGAAAGAGGGTGGCAGCACATACCTTGGCCACAGGCCCCCAGCTCATGGAGCAAACATGCTTACAAGTATTTGGATGCCCCATCCCTGGCAGTGTTCAAGGCCAGGTTGGATGGGGCTTGGAGCAAGCTGCTCTAGTGGAAGGTATCCCTGCCTGTAGCAGGGGGTTGGAACTGGATGAGGTTTAAGGGCCTTTCCAACCCAAACTATCCTGTGATTCTATGATCTATGAAATAAACTCTTCTCCTCCCAAGCTGTTACAGCTCTTCTCTTTTTTCCTGCATTTGCTTTCCTCAAGGTATTTCTGACAATTCCACACAAGTGGCAACAAAAGTTGTTCAAAAGGCAAAAACAAAGGGAGGAAAAAAGTTCCCAGTTGTATTTTCCCATCAAAATCTGAGTATTTTCTGAAAAGAAAAAATAGCAAAAAAAAAAAAACATAAATAAATAAATCCCTTTTGTCTGCAAATCCCCTGGTGAGAGTGGGGGAGGTCTGAACCGTTCCTGCTTGACTCATTTCTGGGCAGCTCTTTGCTGTCAAAGGAAACTTGTCCTCAGCAGATTTTATGTTGTTTTCTAACCTGCCTGCAAGGAGGTGTTCCGTTTGGTGACTGAGGTAAAGGAGGTGCCTGCTTCTCCTTTGATGTTCCCACATCTGCCCATCAGAGGAAGGCTCCAGATGGCCATTTCTCCTGAAAAAGAGTTATAAAGTCTCCATTGGAGTTTTCCTCCCTTGCCTGGTGCTGGGGATGTCTCTACTGCTGCAGAGACAGAGGCAGCCTGGGTCCACCAAGCAATGGGATGGGGCAGGTTTCACCCTCAGGTATGTAGCCTCTCTTTGCATTTAGTCTCAATGAAAAATGCCAAAGACACTTTTCTGGAGAGCAAAGCAAATAGCTAAAGGCCCCCTTTAGAGCGTTAGGCAAGCAAAGAGAATGTTAGAAGCAGCATCTCGGCTGTTAAATAATCCAAGGAAAATCAGTTATGGAAAGTATAATAACATGGAAATGGGCAGGGGGATTGCTATCAGCAGTGAGAAGCATGGATTAGTGTTTAAAGTAATAAGCAGAAGTGATGTGGGATGGGAAACCCAGCTCCATCCAGTGCCTGATGCCCAGCCTCTGGTGGTTTTGCCCTCGCCTTTCATACCTACAGCTTTGATTCCTTTTGCCAAGCAGATGCATCCCTATGTTAACCTGACAATGGAGAACCTTCCCTGTTTAGAAGCATAGGAACAACTGGATTGGAAAAGGCCTTTAAGATCATCAAGTCCAACCAAGTTTCATACGTTTCCTTCAATAAACCAAACCAACTACTTGTACTATTTGTGTAATAGGTATTTCAGTTAGGCTTGGAGAAGATGCTAGCTCTGGCAGGACTGAGATTAATCTCCAATTAGAGGGAAAGAAAGACCATAACACAAATTGCTGGAAAATACAGGAATGTTTGTCCTTTACTTTCCTAGCACCATTGCTGACAACACTGGAGTGTAAGCTCCTAGGCAAAGATGTCAAATGCAAGGTCACTCCAATGCTTTCATATAAACTACAGCAAGGCTGTAAACTCTGTGTCTAGCAAAGGAGAGGTCTGGTACAGCCCTGGGGCTGATCCTTAATGCAGAGGAGGCAAGTATCATCTGTAACCCTTTCCTGTTCTCAAACTCTTGACCAACAACAGACAGGATCAGGATCTTTGTTTAAAGTTATAGTTAATGAGTTTCATCCTCTCTCTTTCTAGACCAGAATCTCCCGTCCATGGACATGTACCCACCAGAGAACTAACACCAGCTTACCCAAGAGCTGACAGCAGCCTGTAGATGGATGGACACCCTTTCCAGCCTGCAGCATACTGCCTCTGTCCTCAGCTGAAGGGATAAGCAGCTGTAGTAATGGAAACACTTGGTTGGGTTTTGCAGATCAACCTAATTTGAAAGGAATGCCTTCTGGTTTATTACAACCATTAAACATTGCCATAAGTAGCAAAGTAGGAAGCAAATCTAACTCAAAGCAGCAAGACTGGCTCGTCCCAAAGCAGCTGAGGGCAAGACAAGTAGGAAGGTAGCAGATTACCACTCATAGGAACTGGGTTCCCACCCCTGCCCCTCACTTTGTGATTTTTGGCAGGTCTCTGATGGTCCCTGAGCCATTGCCCTCCCTCCTTTCAGTGGGAAGATGGAGATTTCCTAATCCCCTGTCGTGGGAAGCAGAGCCAAAGATGCTGTGAAAGGCACTCAGCTTTCATTCAGAAATACACTGTGGGCTTCCTCACTGCGTAGAAAGCTGAGATTGTGAATGGGAAGGCAAAAATGAAAGAACTAAATCCATGGGTTGTTTGAATCTGGTGCTTTGCAAAATCAGTTGCACATCAGGAACTAAGGGTCAGGAGGGACCTGACTCCTGATTTCCCACTGCTTATTGCTGACAATGCTGGCATTGTCAGAGGGACACTTCCTCTGCCTTGTGGCTTTGGCTGAAGGTCCCTCAGGCAAAGAACATGGTTTATTCTGTGAACATTCAATGCAAGGCCCAAAGAGGACAGCAATCACCCTGAACTACTGGCATCTGAATGCATCTGGCTTTTCTGCATGAGTCCATCCCCACTGCCACTGCCAGGTTTTCCTACTTCATTGCAAAGAGGCAGAATGTCCCAAAGCAGCGTTTGCCTCCTGACACATAGAGAAGTTAAATGGTTTGGGTTGGATGGACCTTTGAAATCCATGTAGTCCAACCCATCAAGGCATTTGAGGCAGGCCTAAGGGACTCCCAGTGTCTTGCAGTAGGGCTGCTGCCATCAAACTTGGTCTCACCAGCACTGACCAAGCAGCTCATAAGCCTGCATTAGTGATAAAAGGCTCACCAAGTCCTCCATGGCAGTATCTACATCTCCACCTTCCTTTTGGAGCTGCCTGACTTCACTGCTGCTTCCAGCTAGGAACAGGCATTGGGATCTTTGTGGTGTTGGATTATCTACGGGAAAAGTACTCTGTGAAGGTGGCAAGTTCTGGCAAAAGGTAGAAAATGCTATTACCTAAGAAACAAGCACAGGACTATGCAAAAATGGGAGCGTGTTTCATAATGTGCTCCCATAAACAGATGAATTAAGCCTGCTCTCCAGACAGCTCTAGCTCTATCTGCCTTGCAAGTGCTTGACTTTCCCACCTTAACACTGTGCTCTTAGCAGGCTTTTTTCTCCCCGTGCATTGTGTATAGCAAATCCAGCCGTCCGCCCGCACCCCCTTCCCTGCAGCAAGCGAATCCCAGTGTTGAGTGAGTGCAGGCACTTACTGCCTGACACAGCATCCCCGCTGCAATCACAAGGGTCTCTTTATAGAGCAGCTCTCTGGGCACACAAGAGCTGGACCAGCCTAACTGAATCAGCAGAGAAAAATAAACATCCTTCTCTTGGAAGTGCCTCGCACAGTTTCATTAAGCCAGCCTAGGACTGCGAAGGAGCCGGATGTATATTTATTGAATTGAGCCCTAAGAGAGTAAAAGGGGAAAAGAAGCCCCCTGGCTGTTCTGGTGAGGGGGGATTTAAGGAAACTAAGCAAAGCAAGCACTAACCCCCCCTTACTCCAAACTCAGCATTAAAAAGAGAAAAACTACAAAGTATTATCAGGAGGGGAATGGGAACATGTTGTGGTTTGGAAAGACGGGCACAAAGAATTACGAGCACGTTCCCAGGCAGCGGCATTCCTGCCTGGTTTACGGCATGCTCTGGATGCTGGCCTACCTCCGAGGTGGGGTGTGAACATAAAACATGTTCCTGGTTGTTGTCCACACTCTGCTGCGGCACAGGGCAGCGCTCCCCGCCTGCCTTCCACTCGCTGGGGCAGGGCACAAGGATTTAGAGCTAATTAAGGAATGAAAATGAACTCTTGACACATTTAACCACCTCCCCTCACTCCCAGCCAAGGGGGTTCTGTTTCCTTCATGGTATTTCAAACCAACCCCTGCTCATTTTTACTCTGCTGCTTTTGTGTAGGTTGGAAGTGGCTCCAGAGAGGCTCTTTAAAACATTTTGGTTACCAAAAGTCAGCTTCCATTAAAGAAGTAACGTGGACTATTCTGATAATACCTCTTAAAAGAATCTTTCTCCTATCAGCAATGCAACGTTTCTGTTAACAAATGAGCCTGAGCTTGTACCTCTCCACTCAATAAAGAAGTCCCGGGCTGGAGATGCATTATAGCCATCACCTTGTGTGCTGCAGAGAGAGACACAAAACCTGGCCAGTTGTGCCTGAAGGACATGAAAATCACAGAATAGAATACATATATTCATAGGACATAGAATCACAGAATCCTAGACTGGGTTGTGTTAAAGGGACCTTAAAGCTCATCCAGTTCCAACCCCCTGCCATGGGCAGGGACACCTTCCACTAGAGCAGGTTGCTCCAAGCCCCTGTGGCCAACCTGGCCTGGAACACTGCCAGGGATGGGGCAGCCACAGCTTCTCTGGGCACCCTGTGCCAGTGCCTCAGCACCCTCACAGGGAAGAGCTTCTGCCTTAGATCCAACCTGAACTTCCCGTTTCAGTTTGAACCCATCACCCCTTGTCCTATCACTACAGTCCCTGATGAAGAGTCACTCTCTGCAGCCTTGTAGGCCCCTTCAGATATTGGAAGCTGCTCTGAGACCAGGACAGCAATATAGCAATCAAACCCATTCTATAGCTATGTTAACGCTGGTATAAAGGTGTAATTTTTGCTTTTAGCTTCTGAGAAAGAATAAAAGGTGACATGAACTAACCAAACTAAACCCAAAAGGTACACAACTGGGTATAATGAACTCCAGTGTAAGAGATGGCCTGTGTAGAGAGGATACAGGGAAAAAGGGCAGGCAAGGATGTTCCTCCACTAGAGCCCAGCAAACACTTCCCTTGGATCTTCCAAATCACTCCCTGAAATGGCAGAGCCATGACCCTCTGCACTGAATCTCCTAGGGGCTGACAGGCAGCATCACAAGATGCCACCACAGGAGAAGCATCTCTAGGGCATCAGGCTACCTCAGCCCATGTTTAGTAACATCAGCATCCCTTCCTCAGGTGAGGAGCATCCCATTACACAGTCCTGGTGTGACAAATGGAAAAGAAAGACACAATAGTCTCTCAAGAGTGTTTTAGCTGGGCTATGAAGAGAATCATAGAACCATAGAATCAACCAGGTTGGGAAAGACCTTTAAGCTCATCAAGTCCAACCATTCCCCAGCACTGCCAAGGCCACCACTAACCCATGGCACTGAGGGCCTCATAAACAGACTGCCTTCCTTTCCCACATGTGGCTGGACTGGGCCATGCAGGTATGGAGGGAATCATTATCCCTAATTATCCAAGCAGATTTGGGAGCATTTAATGCAGTGATAGATCACTACAAATCTCTTCAGGCTTTGTTCCCCAAAGCATGGAAGTTAAACTAATACAATGCAGTTGCCCCTTTTTGTTTAACCAAAGCTAAATGGCAAGAAAAGCAGAAAAGATTACAGTCATCAGCACCTGGTTATTGCCAGAATCCATGGGGTGTGGAATCTGAGCCCCATTGCCTTTATCAAGCCAGGATTTGACAAGTAAAAGAAGTAGATTAGGGGAGATTTTGAAAGCCCTATTAACAGTGCAGACAACTGCAAAGCTGAGCACTCCAGTCTCAGCCTTATTAAAGGCTATTTTCATAACCATAAACCAGGCAGGACAATGTCTCATTTTATAATTAATACATATTGTTATTAATAGAGTTAAACAAAGCTGGCTTTCATTCCTTTATTTAGTGGTGCATTTGGTGAAGCACTTAAAGGGGGCCAGTCCAGTGTACACATAGAACTGTTTTAATTACATCCTGTGAATTTATTTTTCCAGGGAGAAATATTTCTCAGGGAAAATGTCTATAAAAGTAACTTTAGAAGCAATGTAATTTTGTGTGTGTTTCCTATAGGAAATCTGTTTAGTTTAAGTCCCAGGTTCTAACACTCTCTTTTATGCAGCAGTGTGACCTGAAGAATGCTGCTGACAGCCCTGTTAAAGCCTTGTATCTCTTCTGAAGTGAAGCTGCTGATGGATTTGTGAGTCCTATCTTGATGGGACCTTACCTCCTCCCTCTCAGTTGGATTTCACTTTCAGGATGGCACTTCCACAGACAGCTCCTGCAGAAGGAGACACTTTACCTTAATGGGCACGCCAGACTTTGATTTACGTGCCCATGTTGGTGTTGCATTTGGGAGTTATTTTTACTGTAATTTATTTAAGCAAAGACCAGCCCCACAGGAGCTCAACTGCAGTTTCCCAGATACAAGAAGAAAAATGTTATGGATTTCACAGCCATCAAAGTGAGAGTTCCCAGGAAATGGATCCTCCAGGAGGGGCTTTGGTCAGGCTTCAGCATATACATCTTTCCCCTTGGAATCAACAAAGATAGCTGGAAACTCCAGCCCATGGCCACTTTGTCACCCTTTCTAACCCAAGGTGATGGAAAAGCTGTGGGCTCCCAAATTCTGGAACCTGAAAACCAGCTTTTTCTTCCCTAATAACTTATTCAGTAGCTCTCTGCTCATCCTGCTCTGATTTTGCCTTATGCCTCCTCATCCTGGAAGAGCAGACATACCCCAGCACCCTGGTGAAACGATTCTGTGATGCACCAGCACTATGATGTGGCATTGGAAAGCCTTTCTCTGTCCTACATCCACTGGGTGCTAGTGTGAGGATTTGCACCATGTCACCTTGGAGAGGAGAGCACCTTTCCTCATGCCCAGCTTCTAAGAAAGCCAAAGGAAGGCAAAACCAGCTTTTCTCTAGGTAATGACAAGGAATTGGACACTCCAGGGTGGCCCCTTGCCAGTGAGAGATTGTTAGAAAGCACAGAACAAGCATGACCCTCTCCAACCTTCACATACAAGTTTTCTTCTAGGAGGCTTAAAACAAGGGCTGTAGTGGGCACCCACATCCCAGTGCTGCAGCAAAGGAGATGCATTAGGATGTGGGACAGGAGCAGGCAGCATACAGATATGTTCAGGTAAAACAAGGGAAGAGCTGCTTGTCCTTTCCAGAATCTCGGCTCCAGAAGAGTGCGCCCAGCTGGAAAGAGTCTGGATATGTGCATAGTTTTGGAAGGCAAGCCCACATAGCTGGAAGTTTCTGATCCTAATAAAGGATAGTCCTTCAGCTACCTAAGAGAAGACAGTAACTTCAAGATGCTGCATTTGGTCCCAGTTGCCTTGGGCTAATTGAGCACTGCTTTCAGATCAGCCTCACCTTCCATGCTGTGCTGCCAGGTCCTTCGCCAAAATGTCCTCTCCCTTCCTTTTCCTCTCCACCATTGAATCAAAAGCAAATGTAGCATGGGTTCTTGCAAGTAGGCGAGATCAGTTCTCTGTGGACTTACTCAGCTGTGGATTTGCTGCTGTGTGGTTTCACCATGTTCAAAAGCCTTCCAGAGCACAGAGGAAAGGAGTTGATACATTTTAAAACATAGGGAAAAAAGAAAATCGAATGCAGAGAACTTGGAGGGTGGATCAGCTTCGCCAGCTATAAAACCCCATCCTACTTAGGTACTTATTGTAATGACAGAGTATTTTCCTTGCTCACCAAGACAGTGCATTAGCACTACCACAACTGAGTCTGTAAGATCCACTCTTTACCTCTGGGAAGTGAGTCTTTTGATGCCACAAAACATGGTGTGGCATTTCACACTGCCAGAGACACTTAGGAAACAGCAAGGTGCTGGAGGCCGATAACACAGAAGGAGAAAGACCTGACCCTGTAAGAAACCTTGTCTCCAGTAGATCCCTGTAGAGCAGGGAAGGAGACAGCTGGAGATAACCTGCTCTAGTGGAAGGTGTCCCTGCCTGTGGCAGAGGATTGGAACTGGATGAGCTTTAAGGTGCCTTCCAACACAAACCAGGCTGGGATTCTACTAAATTCTCCATGGCGTGTATGGCCCTCCTGACAAAGCAAGGACACTCACCTGCTCTGAGGTAAGGGAGAAAGGAGATGTTAAGGCTTTATCTCCCAGCACCCAAGGGAGCCCCTCCAGCCTCTGGCTTGCCTTTCCCTTGACAGCACTGGGAGTTAGGTCATTTCCTTCCCCCTTTTTTTCAAGGGATTGGAATTAGCATTGCCATTGTACTCCTTAACTTGACTGTGCTCCCCCCCCCCTTCTGCTCTTGTTATGAGCCCTTTAAGACCCAGCTGTAAAACTCTGCAGCCCGTATATCCTAACACTTCATAATCACACCTTGTAGTAACACGACAGAAATCAGCTCATTCCTAGTGACCTGCAGAGCCTAAATGCTCACCAGTGCCCATTAAGTATGAAGCTGGGAAGGAGGCATCAAGCTGAAGCACCACTGCCCCCCACTGCTGTCCTCAGGGGTCCTCTGGGAGGACCTCAGTGGGATTGGGCTGAACATAAGGCATCTCCTTAAAGCATCCCATAAGGCAGCCCCTTTTGATCTCCTGAGTGCATAGGAAAGCAGTATTAACCTGTAAAGAAAATAGCCTACCTATAGTATAGGCAGGCTATATTCTATATATAGTATAGCAAATGGAGTCAAGCATCCTTTAGAGCACAGACACGTGTAGGCACATTCATCCACTAAAAATGGACACATCACAGATCATTGAGCAAGAAAATCTAATTTCTTCCTTATTTTAACTTAATCCACCTACAAGATGTGGTTTTGAGGCCTTGGGCTCCAGCAGAGCACAGTCCATCACAAAGAGGACAATGACAGCCACACATTGTGCTTATTGGAAACCATCCAGGCAGCTCAAGAGCACTGCTCCCCCTTTTCTGTGCTGCCCAGGATGAGATCAATGCAGCACCTTGTGCATCAAAGCCTTGCTGTAATTAGCCCCTGTTCAGCTGTAATGACACCAATAGTGGCTGTAAAGCCTCCCAGCTGCAGACCTCCTTCTCCCCAGGACCCCATTCCCACCTTCAGCAGCCCGTCCACTGGTTTTCATGGCATAGGGCAGTGCAGTTTTGGCTCTCACCTCACACCAGCCCTTCCTCCACTGCACAACGTGCTGCTGTAGAGTCCTTACACGGTCCAAAAGCCTCTTCTCATTTGGCTTGGCTTCTCTCTGGGTCCTGCAGCTGCCTGTGGCTTTGGGAGTGGTTCAGGTGACTTGCTGATGGCCTCTTCTCCTACCTCTGCCTTTCAAGAAGAGTTCACTCCAGGTTTTAGAACAGGTTTTGGGAAGTTTCTGTACTTCAATCTGTGAAATGGTTTCAGTTTAAGCAGCTGTTTTCACATGCTCCCCACTCCACAACACATCCACCTTTTGGGATCAGATTTTTCTGGCTCTTGCCCAAGGCTCTATTTTTATTTTTAAATAAAATTCTAAAAGAAAAATAGAAGTTGGTCCAAATCCATCCCACATTCCTGGGCTTGGCCTGAGGTGAGAAACTTCCCATGTTCACAGTAATCCCTCACCATGCTTCTTGTTGTGGAGCTCAAAGGATGCACAGGAGCTGCCACAAACACTCCAGGAAGACAACTGGAGCCCAGCCATGGGCTGAAACCCCTGGTCCACCCCAGAGACTTGCAAGTGAGGTGCTTCTCCTCCCCTTGCTGTCAGGCAGCAGGTGGTACATGGCTGATGCAGCTCCATTACCTTGCAGTGCAATGGTGGTATGAAGGTGGGTTCTCCATCACAAAAGCCCATTGTCAAGCTGTGACCCAGCCTCTGCTGGCACCAGTGGAAGTTTTTCTACCAAAATGGACTTTCAGTCAAGCCTGCAAGTGCATCAGAGAGTCCAGACTGGTTTAGGTTAAAGGGACCTTAAAGCTCATCCAGTTCCAACTCCCTGCCACGGGCAGGGACACCTCACACTGGACTATGCCACCCAAAGCACTAGAAGCATCTGGATGGATGCCTTCAGGAGGTCCTGTGCTCCAGCTGCTTTTTGTGGTTGCACACTGAGATCCCACAAGCCCCATGCAAATACAGCACATGATACTTGAGAAAGTGACATTTGAACGCAGAAACACGTTTAACACCCATTCACACACAGCTTCTGGTTGCTCCCACCAGCAGATCTAAACCACAGCACAATAGAACAGTATGTAGCTGTGAGACACCCTGGTCTCTCACCCTCCACTTTGGCTGCAAAAGGATACTGTTAACGTGGGCCCTGAGGTTACAGCCCTCTAATGCAGTTAAACATCAAAACAGCTCTTTTTTGACACTTGTGTGGCCAGGAATGAAAAGCTGAGAGCCAGAGAACATTAAAACTGGAGGAGAACGCCTTTCCTTCCTCCCAGGCTACCCAGTGGGCACAGGGCTATCTACCAACAGCATGAATTCCTCCTGGCTCCAAAGCTCAAAGTGCTCCTCAGCTGAGCTGCCCAAGAAGCATGAATAAAAGTCTTAGTGTGATGAGAATAAATAAACCTACCTGCTACATCAAGCTACACAGCCCAGGAAGGGCTAAGCATCTTTGTCCAACCCAAACAATCCTATCTGGCCTTGCAGTCCTGTTCTCCTTCCCTGCTCCAAGTGTAACTCTCAGTGAGAAGAATGGCCTGCAAGAGATGAGCACAACAGGGTGAGATCTGGAAAGGATGCTCAACAGAGGGCAGGGATAAAATCCCTCCTCCAAGAGCTGCAGAGGGAAACCCAAGCACAGTTGGGTTTTACAGCTAAATATAATACAGCAAGAGTCACGTTGGGAGACACATGAGCTGCACATTAGCTGCAAAGGAATTCCAGATCTTAACCGGGTAAAAGGGACACATTTTTTCCTCTCCTGGCCCACCCTTCTCCCAAATCTCTGCAGAGACAATGCACAATCCCCCTGCAGTCCATGGAGGTCCATGTGGAGCAGATATCCCCCTGCAGCCCATTACATTCTCTCCCCTCTCTGGCTGAGGAGGGGAGTGATGAATTGTTTTTTGTGGGAAGCTGGCCAGGGTCAACCCACCAGAGATGATCAATGGAGTAACTTGGGAACTGTGGAGAGGAGCATCTTGGACTCTTCCCATTACCACCTCTCCAGTGAACAAAAGCAATGTGCAGTGGTTGTGATGAGACAGAGCCCAGCATCTCTGTGCTCTGGTTGCTCATTCACAATCAGTGTCTTTCTTGTTCTTACCCACCTTTCCATACGCTCCACGCAGTGCTGCTGACCCAAGGACTTGCCTCAGGTTGACTCCAGTTTCCAGCTGTGGAACGTGCACTGGAAGTACCACCAGGATTATTTGAATTGGCCACAAAAACTTCCTTTCTCTCTCTGGAGGTTAAAACCGGAGCAGGTTGGAACCTCCTGCTCAGAGCAACTGCTCCTTATCCAAGCAGCTTCTCCTTCCCAGGCAGATCTGCAATACTCTGAGTATCCCTGGCCAACACTTGGTCTCCAGCATCAGTAGATGCCATTCCAAAAAGCAGAGAAACCTGAAAGCAGAGAAGAAACTAAGCACCACTTGCCACCAACCTTATCCCATGGAAAGCTGTGAGATAGAAAACAGGCCCTGTGGCTAGGCTGCTGCCCAGGAATTATGAGATGCTGTGCAGCTCATCCATGCCTCTTGCCTGTACTGCTTCCCATCCATTTCCTTGTAGGCCAAGTCAGTCTTCTGGAACAAAAACAGCTGTTAAAATATGCCTTTCCCATTAAATCCACAGAAGCCCTTTCAGTTTGTATCCCTGTCACCTGGAACAGGCTCTTCTGGCCTTTTCAGAAGGGAGGAATTCACATCCATACTTACCTGTCCAAACAAAAGCAGCTGGAATGGAAAGCAAGGGCTGCTCCTTTCCACAGCATTGCAGCACAAGCCCTCCCTAAACATGGTTTGGCAGGAGACAGAGAAGACAGGTCCTGGTATACCCTGGCCATGCAGACTATCTATCTGCTGTTCTTCACAGTAACAGGAAATTCCTTCTCTTTGCCTCAGGTTTTGGGTTGTATTATAATACAGACATGAATATGCTACTAACCTTTAACAGACCTTGCAGGAAAGACAGGCACATGGGTCCCCAGGGTAGACTTGTTGGTCTTTGCCTCTCCAGCATCCTTCTGGGAGGAAGGGGGGAATCATGGAATCAACTGGGTTGGAAAAGACCTTTAAGATCATCAAGTCCAACCACTACCCCAAGGCCACCACTAAACCGTGGCACCAATATTATAATGGCCAAGTCATATCATCAGTTAATTCCTTCTATTTGAACCACAGTCTGAGCATTTTCATTAACTTCTTTGAACTTTGGGATATGAAAAACACAGAAATAGAAATCTATTCCCAATAGTATTAGTTAATAAATAACTCTGCTTTCCAAACTTGTTCTCATCCACATTCTATTAAGGAAGTTAAAAGAATTCAATGCTTACTGTCTTCGATGCCAGTGTCCCTGGGGCCAGATCCCTCTCATTCCTTTCAATCTGATGATCCCAATCCCTGTCACTAGCCAAAAAGATGACTGGGAAGCCCCCACCTCACCGGGACAAGCACAGGGTCTGAACACACACTTCACCACATCCATATAACCAAGAGCCTCCACAGCCCAAAATAGCACCTGAACACACAAGTGACCTGCAAAAGCAGCCAAAACCATAAGTTTTCAGCCCATTCCTGGGCACACAACAAAGTCAAGTCTGTGGGACCCAGCATGACATAAAATGAGGCTAAACCCAGGCAACCTCTGCTTCACAAGTCATAAATCTGGAGTGGAATTTCTCTCCCTTTTCTTCTTGGTAAGCATTTCCCTTCCCATGGCTGTCAGCTGCAATTGGAGGCCATCATCTCAGGTTGGGATTTGGGCAGGAGGGGGAGGGAGCTGAGCCTTGTTTCATCACATTAAATTAAACTATAAACTACACCTTTTAATTCCTCCTAATTAAATTCCACCCTGGAAAACGGAAATGTTCTTTCTTAGTACTTTTTCACACCAAACATGGTAGGAAGCATTTTGTAAGAGGCCTTGGTGCTGCAGGCAGCTACCAGGGCACTGCAGGACATGCCTGGGGTGCGATCTCCACCTGAAGAGCACTCTATAGTTGGCAGCTCCTGAGTCCATCATAGGTACTAGACTGAGTCACATCAACGTGTGCATTCATTCAGACTCTGGGGAGAGGGAAAGGGTGCACATTCAGCTGAGAAAGGCTCCAATCATTTAAGATACACAGGTCCCAGTGCTAGAACACCCCTGTTTCTGAGAGCCCAGTTCCCATGAGCTTTCAGTGCACAGCATCCCCTACATCACATAGCACTGGCAATGGACAAAACCATGGAATTCAAAAGCATTTGAAAGCAATTGATATTTTCCCCTTTACATTCCAATAGGCACTCATGGTAAGTAACCCAATAGGCAAGAGACTGCTCTGAGGTCTCCACGCAGCTTCTCTTCTCCAGGCTGAACAGCCCCAATGTTCTCAGTCCTGACGCACAGGGGCCAGCGACCACCTCCCAGCCTGCACAGAGAGGAATGTCAGGCACGTCGTGAAATCCAAGTCCTGCTTCCCAGACCTGTCAGGCCCCATTAGCACCAGGAGGCCTGACAATGTAAGGGTTCTAAACCCCAAACCACCACACCAGCAACATTCCCCTTGCTGATGAACCACCCACGAGCTGAAACACAAGCCCAAGGCATGGACAAAGCATCGTGTGCAAGACTCAGTGCCTGAAGACATTCTTCTCTACCAATTTTCTTTCCCCCTTCAGGAACCACTGTTGGTTATTTGGCGGTCTTTCGGTGTTGCATCCTCAACCTTTAAAATGAAAGCAAGCCTAAGCTCCAAGGCACTACCTTTGTTCCACCATACTGGAAACCAAAGCAATCCTGGATAGAGCACCAGCTACGACTGTAGCAGATGTCAGATGTCTTGTTAAACCCTGACACTAACTGTTTTTTTGTTTAAAGAGATATTAGATGCAGAAAGCATAAGAAATCGGGTGCATAGAGATGCGAGGCATCCCTAAGATCTCCCAGGAAGCAAATGAGTGCCTCCAAGCCGCAGATTGATATGAGCCCTAAGCTTTCCACCCCAACTCAGGCATGCTCACTTCTAACGCAAGGACAGATGAATACATGGGCCATGTCACTACACAGCATGCATCAGCAATGAGAAGATGACGAGAGGAGGGTCTGGTGAAAGGAACTTCATGAAATGGAGTAGCTGAGGGAAAGGAGAATTCATCATTTAAATACTGCTTAACCCAAGGCAGAACTGAAGTCACTTAACATCCCTGAAACTGGTCCCTCTGACTGCCTTCCTGCCAGCCCTGTGGTCCAGCAGCACCATGCTGGTCCTGGCTGTGGATGCAGAAGGGACATGGGATGGGTGACAAAGGCTGGGGGCTGGTAGCAAATCTCTCTGTCCTTTCAAAGGGTGGCTTCTAGCACTGAGGGACCAGGAGCTCTCGGTGTCTAACACACCCTAAGCAGGGGGCTGAGCAATCCCATCAAATCCCATATTGTTTGATGAAAGTAAAAGGCAAAGGAAGTGAGTGTTCAGACTGCTCTGAAGTTATATATTGACCACACAGGCTTTCACCATCAGTCCTGGGCTTGGGGATTCTGGTGGACATCCTAAACCCCATTTCTTTCATGATGGAGTGGACAGGCTCCAACCTGGGGTGCAAAGCAATGCATGGTAGGAGAGGGTGACAACTGAGGGCTGGCTCACAGGAGGAGTCCTGCCTCTCTGGAGCCTACCCACAATATTGCTTCACCATTTAAGTTCAGACAGTGAAATAATACAATTCAAGTGACAATAAAAGTGCAAAGAGCAACCTGTCATGTTGGTTGGATGGGTTTGGAGCAACCTGCTCTAGTGGAAGGTGTCCCTGCCTGTGGCAGAGGGTTGGAACTGAATGAGCTTTAAGGTCCCTTCCAACTCAAACCAGTCTGGGATTCTGTGATTCTATGAACTGTCAAGAACAGATCAGAAAATGTCTCCTATTCCATCGTAAACCCCCTGCTTTATTTCCAATCCCACCCCAAAACCCCATGCAGCAAAGCATCCTGTCCTTTAAAATGGCTGTATTTAACATAGCAAATACTCACCCTCCTTGGTGATGGTCTGTTTGGTTGGTTCTTCATAGCTCCAGATCCCAGAAAAAGCAATGAAGAAAGTAAAAGAAAACCCCACAGATATGCCAATCAAAGAAGGAAAACCAAAAAAGGCCACTAGCAGTTCATACACAATCCAAACAACAGGGGAGGAGGAGATGTGCTCATACACTAAACACCTTGAGAAGAGCCTTGCGTTGGACTAAAGCCTTCTGCGCTCAGCACAGCATCATATAGTTGTGTCTACGCTAATATGCTTTAGGAGTAAAGCTGGACTGTAACATGCACAGCACTCCAAAGGTCATTAGGACCTGCAGTTGAGTAAAATAAATTAGTGGAATTATTCACATACAAAATGTTACAGAAACATGCATCTGGGAGGAAAGAGGCACTTAAATTAATCCTTTCCAAATGAACAGACGCAATAAAAATGGAATTAACACCTGTGCAGATAAAATACTTCTGCTCCCTTACACAGTGATGCATGGATTGCATTTTCAGTTGTTCCCAGTAAGATTCCCAATGGCTCTGAACACATGACACCATTTCTGTAATGATGCAAAGAAGTGTAGGTTACACAAGGCTTTACTTCTTGATCTTTGGTTTGTAGATAATCTTCCCTCTTTATAACAAACAGGATCCAGGAACCTTCTGACCTGCAGGAGACTGGTTGTTTCCAACTTCTGATCAAATATATACATTCAAACTATAAAGAGAAGGTTGGACCAGATGATCCTTGAGGTCCCTTCCAACGTGGTATTCTATGAGGTTATGATTTCATGACTTTTTAAGGGGGCAAAATTGGTATCATGACAGCGCGTTCAACAGGAACCTCAGTGGCAATGAAAAGGAGATGGAAAGAGAAGTGGCTCAGAAACTGTGCTCAACAGGCCAGGGAGGGGAAAAAGGGCTGTGAGGACCTGGTGAGTAACAGCAGTTCACATTTAAACAAACAAGTTATTTTAATAGCTCTACAACTTGAGCATTCAAATGAATATCATTCTATCCCAAGTAATATCAACTTCTAAAGATCAATGCAATAATGGGCTTTTATACAAGTTTTAGGCTTTGGGTCCCTAAACATTTTATATCTCAACAACAGATATCTTCATTTTTTCTGCTATTTGGTTTTTATTTGGTAGCAATGTCAGTCAATTCCAGTTCTTCACCTTTTGGAAGACAGGTTTATGTTAAGAACCATCCTCCGGATTTTCTCTTCATTCTTTATAATATTAGCTTTTACAGCACATATCTTGTCTTGCTGGTCTTTAATCAACTGGTCCAGTTCAGCCAGATCAGCTTTTAATGGTTCAACAGCGCTGTCTGTGATGCTGAAAGAGACACAAAGAGCATAATGTGAGTGAAAACGTGTTAACTCTAGTTACTTAAGCTTCCAAGAAAGCACATACAGTACCTGAAAGTCTGCAAAGGATTTAAGTTGTGCCCACACCTTCTGAAATAACTTTCAGAGTAAGAAGCACAAAGGCAAAACTAACAACCCAGAGAAGACTGTTCAAGAGAGATCACCTGCAACTGAACACTAAACAGCCATTTCTTAGCTAATCCAGCTCTTCTGCTAAGGCTCTTTGCCATTATTGCATCCCACTCTAGGCAGAGAAGCTGTGGCTGCCCCATCCCTGGCAGTGTTCAAGGCCAGGTTGGACGGGGCTTGGAGAAATCTGCTCTAGTGGAAGGTGTCCCTCTCTGTGGCAGAGGTTGGAACTGGATAAGCTTTAAGGTCCTTTCCAACCCAAATCACTCTGTGATTCTATGATTCTATATGAAAACCAACCCATCACTAGCTGCTGACAAGGGCAGGTAATTCCACACTAACAGGAAATGTAATAAATCCTATGCTAATAAACAAGGACACTGATACATTTTAAGTGAATGGGGCTCTTTGGCTTTACAACCAATGTGCCCACTTCTATAATGCTTTGCTCATCTTCCAAGAATGCTGAACAGGCAGAAAAATGACAGACCAAACTGGTCTGCTCTCATTCTGAACTACCCAGTCACTTTGAGCCCCAGATAAAGTCCACATCCCAAAATCATTTAGCTTTCCCCTTTTTTCCACCACATTAGCATAAACCACAAAAAGCACTGCTAGAAATTGCACTATTCTCCAATGGGATTTGTCAATTATCTTTCACAGGAACAAAGAAAAAGACAAGCATCCAAACTGCACTGTACATGGAAAGCATTGTCTTCTTCACATCTGATGCTCATTCTTTCCTGAAGGAGTGGACATGCCTTAGCACTCCACTGGTCTGATGAGGATCCATAGGACACATCACTAGGTGCGCTGCAAAGGTGAGTCAATGCCTCAGTTTCTCCAACTATAAAATAAAGCCAAACACTGTTCCCTTCCTCTTTGCAGCAGTGCTGCATTCAGAACCCAACCAGGGTTTTAAAGCCTGTCAAAGGTTTGGGACAGAAGGTGCTATGGAAGTGCAAGGAATTAACATCATTATACTTTATACGTGAAGGAAGGCCTTAGTTCCCACCCCAGGCAGTGGACTAAGCCAGCTGCTGTAAATTCCAACATTTAACACATTGCTACCTACCAAGATAGGACTTAGCTAAGAATGCCACCCATTCATGCATGAGTGAAGCACACTGATTCAGGGAACAGCAAATCTAGGATGCTTGTGAATCCAAGATCATCACTACCTAGTTCATGTTCAAGATCAGAGGACACACAGCTGGAGAGAATATTCTGGTTTCAAGGAGCATAAAGACACGTTGGTGAGACAAAGGCCAAAGAAACTGGTTTGAGGCTTGACCTCCTTGTTTCTATCATGCACATCCCCTTCACTCTCCTAGCTTTCCAGTGCTGTCCTTTCAACCTTGCACAGATGACAACTGTTATTAACACCACTGCAGAACACCCTGAATTCAATGGCACAGAGACAGCAGGTTGTGATTTAGGAATCCACTCTTAGTCCCATTCCAAATCTACTTTGCTCTTCCCTCACTGCTCCTTTATTTGTGAGAAGCAGCAAACAAATCAAGCCCTCTCCTATCACACATTTGCATCTCTGCTGCCATGTCCATCATGATAAATTGAGCTGAAAAGACCTGAACGCTTCAAGTCCAATCCACAGAAATGACTGATGACAAATCTGCTTTTAAAAATGAGTTAAACTCTTCCCAACCCCAGAAATCTGTCTCAAGAGATAAATGAACCTTTCCCTGCCCACACTCACCTCTGCTCCTTCTGTAGAGTTTCTGCGTGCTGCCTGTTCTCCTGCCGCCACATCTGCAACTCGTTCTTCATGGCATCCATATCTTCCTGGATGTAATCCATGATCCTGCCAAGCGTCAGAGCACTCCTGCACAGAGTCTGAATAGAGACCTGAAACTTCTCAATTTCTTTGGCTACCAAGTCTCTCTCTCTTTTCCTGGCTGCTTCTGACACAAAGGGCTTCTCCTAAAGGAAAGGATGAAGGAGAAAAGCATCAAAACTAAAGAAAACTAAGGAGAAACAGAAAAAGAGAGGAGCAGAAAGCATGAAATATCCAAGTCACCACTGCAGAGCACTGCTACAGAAGTATGCAAGAGCATCAGCAATAGAAAAACTGCTTTTCAGACCACAAGTGCATCGAAGTAAAATTAGTATTTGATCCCATTCAATGACCTCATTGATGTTCTCATTCTCAGCATGATCTTTCCCAAGGCAATGGGTGTAGGAGGGGAAACCTTCTTTGCATTCAGCCATGGTTTATCATAGAATCCCAGACTGGTTTGGGTTGGAAAGGACCTTAGGATCATATAGTTCCAACTCTCTGCCATGGGCAGGGACTCCTCACACTAGACCATATCACCCAAGGCTCTGTCTGACCTGTTACCACGTCACTCCAGATCATGTTTTAGCCTACTGCACCATCAGTGTTCATTGGACCTGGTTGCCACAGTGTTTTGCTGCTCCTTGGGAGCTACAGCTGATGCTGAAGGGCACAACCTCCTTCAAGTTTTCCAAGTCAGTCCCTTCAAGATGCTTCTCTTGCTCAACTTCTGTATCTGGATTTCCAGCTCCTAATGCTGGTCATAAGAATAGCACTTCATGCTGCACAGCTATAATAGATGGTGGTTATTCCATGCCTTGTGCTTCTGCTAACAGTGGTTGTAAAATCACTCAGGTTGCAGAAGTGGCCTCACCAAACTCCACTACTCAGAAATAATCTGGTCTTGTGCATGCTTTCCTCATGTGCAGCCAGCAGAGTCTCTGTGGTCAATCTCCTGAAGCTTCCAGCTTACTACACATTAAATACAGAGAAAGAGTCTCTTAAAGTGGCAAAGTCACGAAGAGCAAAAGAATGCCATAAAAAGAGCAAAGTGATGCCACATTACTAATACGCTGTAATAATCTGATTCCAGGAAAGCCCTCCCTGAAAGCAACAAATGCCTTTAAAGAACAGACTGCTGGATTTTGATCCCCCATCAAGAAAAAACAACCTAATTTTTCTTTCTTTCCAATAACCCTACGGGTCAAATTCCCAAACTGAGGGAGTTTTTAAGACACACAAAGCTTTAAGTTTATTTAAAATCATTTTAGTCATTTAATATATGCTGGAAAACTATAGAGGTCTTTCTCTACCACCCCACCCACAGGACCAACCAGTTCCTGAGCCCAGTTCCTAGTGGCTATATCCACACAGAGGTGGCAGTGTGCTTCTCCTCATGCTGGGACACCGAATCCACCACGCTGTCCCCTCCTGCCCTCCTACCCAATTGGCCTGTCTCCCTGTGTGAGCTGTGGGCTGTTTGTTCAGCTGTGTTTGGAGGCAACAGGGATTATCGCCAAACATATTTCAGCAGCCCTTGGCTCACTGATGAACTCATATATATTTTTTTTTTCTTATATATATATAAAGAAAAATACTTCTAAAGATTGGAAGGCTGAGATTTACTCCCATCTGATGCCTGTGTTTTACCACACACACAGTGCATGAAAACTGTGGCACTTGTGAGTATACTGCAACTTTATAATGTTAAAAGTTGTTTAATTAGGAACCAGGCTGAAGTGACAAATGCTGCTGAACTTGTGACCTTCACTTCCTAAGTCAATTCCTGAGTGCTGGCTAAACTGTTAAAAATAACACTCCTCTTAATTCCTTCTCATTCGATCCATACCTCTGTCACAGAAGCAGGTGTTTCATTATACTCCATGACATAAAACATGGTATTCAGATACTTTCTGGAGTCATCCATGTGTTTATCATCCTTTACAAGGCAAAGATGAAAGTGCTGTTTCAGGACCCATTTCATCCCTCGACAACAGATAAGCAGCCCTGTTCTGAGCACAGATACATAGAGTTGAGCGGATCTTCTCCCCAGGTCTCCTCTCTTGGCCAGTGGTGTTCACATCAGCATTGTCCAGCTTTCCTCCCTGTTGATTTTGCAGAGAAGAGGGGTTTTGCCCAGGTGCCCCTGAAGGCACAGATCACAGGGTCCTGCAACCAGCCATTTACCAGGTCTCAGCACACACCTCAGGTGGATGAGTTTGTCTCTGGAAATATTCTTTTGTCCCCCTGCCTTGCTGCAGCTAGTGAAGATGTATGAACAGATCCATAGAATCCCAGACTGGTTTGTGTTGGAAGGGACCTTAAAGCTCAACCAGCTCCAACCCCCTGCCACAGGCAGGGACACCTTCCACTAGAGCAGGTTGCTCCAAGCCCCTGTGTCCAACCTGGCCTTCAACACTGCCAGAGATGGGGCAGCCACAGCTTCTCTGGGCACCCTGTGCCAGCGCCTCAGCACCCTCGCAGGGAAGAACTTCTGCCTTATATCTAACCCAAACTTCCCCTGTTTCAGTTTAAACCCATCACCCCTTGTAATAAGGGTAATAATAAACCACCATGGAATATTTGCTATGAATAAGGAGGATGCCCTTGAAATATATTAGTAAATATTAAAAAATCATTTGTGTCCCTTTGTGTAGTTCAATTCTTCAAACCTGACATAAACAGGACAAAATATTATCCCATCCAAAGTCATTTTGAGTACTGAAACACTACCACTACAAATCCATTAAATACTATTCAGACTTAAACAGGTATATCATCGGCATCAGAGAATCATCATCATAACATGGTTTGGGTTGGAAAGGACATTAAGATCACCCCGTTCCAACCCCCTGCCATGGACAGGGACACCTCACACTAGACCATGTCACCCAAGGAAGCAAAGCCTTGTTAAAAACCCTTTCAAACACATACTATATGATAGCAAAGTAAGAACATGCAAGAAGTTTTTAGTGTATCTCTATCTTTCTAAAGAGGAAGTACTTAAATATCAAGCTCCCATGAGAAATTGCCTTGTACCTGGAGGGTATAGTAACTCAACTGCCATGTTGCTGTCCCTCACCATCAAGTCACTAACACTTGCACTCCCAAGATGCCAAGATCCTGAGCTCAGGAGAAAGAATTACCCCAGTGAAGCACTCAAGCACTGCCAGCTATTGATGGTTACAAGCACCTAACAGGGGAGGCAGGGGGCATACTATGTGCTTTCAGTTTCACACTTCCAGTGTCTACATGGGACACTCTTGCAAATCATTAAGACTTCATGGCAGATGGTTTATTACAACAGGCAACGTGGGTGGTAAGAGTCCTGAATGCCACCTTTGCTCCTTTTGCACAAACATGTAACAGGATATATTCAGTCTTAAGGAAAAAAAAGCCAGAATCAGAATTGTTCCAGCCTATTTAATGAGGCCATACACCTCACTGAACCCTCCTTTCACAAAAGCCCAAGAATCAATAAATTATCCCTATATAAAAGACTCCATCACTTCTGTAGGCCCAACACGCTTCCTTTCCTCTGTGTTTTTCATAAGGCACCAAGATAAATGTTTATTTTGGATTCCTGGGAAAAAGTCTGCCTTTCCCATTACCTCAATGTGAACAGAACACGACGTGGACTCAGAGGCAGGGACCTAAGCAAGGAAAAAGCAGGAATTTTCTTCTTCATCACTAAAGGGGAAATCATCAACAGGGCTCCAGAAACCACCAGCATTTACTTGGGTTGAATTCACCCTGCCTAAAGCAATTGGTGTAACTACTGCAGTGTGCACAGCTCCTAAACATGGATTATTCACAAGACAGACATCATAGAAACATGTATGACAGCATAGAAATATCATGTCTGATAGCTGGGCTTTTGAGGGCATCTGAAATGCCTGCCATCTACTAAGCTAAAAGAGTTATAAAAGATGATTTTTAATCCTCACTGTTTGAAAGCTATCTTTGTTTGAAGCAGTATTTGCTTACTTTGATAGAGCTCCTCCTTTGCTTCCATTTTGTAATTAACAGCGTTTCTATATGAATCACATTAGAACAACCATCCATGAACCACTTGCGAGTTTCTACAGCCCCTTTTAAGTATTCTGTTATATCCCACTATGAAAACAGACCCAAGTAATCACAGTTTTATGGAGCTGTACCATTTCCCCCCTACCTCCTTCTACAGGACAGCACAGAAACTTCATTTTGGACAAGTCATTTTGATCCGTTCAATGTAAAACCAACAAGGTGGGGTGGTTTTTATTGTAGAAACTATTTTTTGATCATAAAGGGTGTTTTCTTTGCCTGGTTTTTACAGAGTCTGCATTTTAAGCAGATTGTAACTATCCACCAGGGATCACCATAAGAAACTCTTTCACAGAAACACAGGGAAACCAGTAAATGTTAAATCATTGCAAATGAACAGGATGCTTTTCTGCTTATGCCAGGTACCGAGTTCAGTAACAGGCCAAGGAACTGGAGACACAATGTTCTTTACCATTACATTTACCAGAGTTCATCTGACCTGCTGCCGAGTTCGAAGGCACCAAAAGCAAATAAAAGGAGAGCTCCTTAAAGAGGGCTTGTTTTTCTTGGGTTTTTAGGGACAACATTCTCCCCAGTTCACATATGATACCTCCAAAAAGAGCTGGGCTTTTCACACGGACATAAACACCCCACCTCAGCCCCCAGAGCGAGTCTGCTTTACTTCACATGCAGTAAGTGTTGGGGAGCAGTCAGTTCATAAAACCTCATGTATTTGGTGGGGTTTTCAGCACACTAAGCAGACTCCTACAGGTCTGACCACACACATGCCAAGAGACAATAGTAGATAGCATTAATTCAGTACCAATGGGTGCCAGACCTGCCTGGCTTTCTGCTCACATTGCTTCTACTTCCATCAACCTCCTTTCTCTTGAAAAAGCAACTTCTTTCCCCTTCAGAAAGCAACAGATCTGTTCCTTGTGTTAAACAACAGCTTTCACACAAGTCACAATCACTGCTAAGCTCCTTGAAAAATATGACAGTCACCTGTAATGTATCCTACACCACACTGCTGCTGTATCCTCTCCAAGGAATGGAAATCACTGTCTGACTGCAGTTTATAGAACCTTTCAGTTCAACATACCCATCTGCTGTCTCATGA